GAGTTGAGGGAAAAGGTGTTAGGCAAGGAGCATCCAGACACACTTGCCAGCATGAACAACCTTGCGCTTGTACTTGACAGCCAGGGGAAGTACGAAGAGGCCGAGCGGATACATCGGCAGGCATTGGGGTTGAAGGAAAAGGTGTTAGGCAAGGAGCATCCATCTACACTTACCAGCATGAGCAACCTCGCGTGTGTACTTGACAGCCAGGAGAAGTACAAGGAGGCCGACCGGATACACCGGCAGGCATTGGGGTTGAAGGAAAAGGTGTTGGGCAAGGAGCATCCATCTACACTTACCAGCATGAACCACCTCGCGAGTGTGCTCAGGAAGCAGGGGAAGTACGAGGAGGCCGACCGGATACACCGCCAGGCATTAGGGTTGAGTGAAAAGGTCTTGGGCAAGGTGCGTCGTGGTATACTTGAGCAAGAAATCCGTGTGGTGTGTTTGAGAGCAGGGCACATTCGTTTGTTGTTTTACTCACTCTTTTTTATTCTCTTATATTTTCTTCTCATAGCGTGCCACAGGAAGGGTCTGGGAGGGCGAGTTACTATATAGTTACCCTTTTATTCTACTATATTCTACTGTTTTCGGTGTCTTTCTCTGCCGGTAAGTTGGCTGGCTGGGAATATTGACTTTCCACGAGCTCACCCAGACGGGAAGTAGCTACCTGGTCAATCATCCAGAGGTGGCCAGGCTTTGCCTGAATGATCCTTGTTGAGCTACCTAGAGGACTCAACGGACTAAGAGGCGGAATACGATCCAGTCCTATGCATCGTAACATCGGGGCAGTAACTTAGATAACGTTCGACTTGTCCGTGCAAGTGCTATGGGATTTGAACAGCTCCAATGTCTAATAGGCCCTATATAAGTTCCTGGACATGTACTAGGAACTATTAGGCTCCTTTATATCCGCTTATACCTTTCTTTTGGTCGTCGTTCTCGAATTAAAACCGAGACTTTGACATAGAGCAGTCGCGCCGAATCCCAATGTCGCTGGTCCTGTGGCGGTGCATTGCAACCTGAATCGATACCCCGTGAGTTGTTAGGTTTTGAAAAGCAGTGGTAAGATGTGGGTGTATTCTGTGTAATCGGAGCGGCTTAAGGTCCAATTTCCAGATGCCCAGCCGAACCACAATAAATCCCGGAATTGATGCAGTTGCTCCTACCGCTCATACAACTCCCAACAATTCGGCGACTATAGTTACCCTTTCGAGTTAAGCCCGCCCAGCTGCACCCCTTGACCTTTACGTACCCCTGACGTCTTAAGACGACCAGTGTACTTGCACCCTTTGGCTTCCAAGACGTCTACCACCTGCACCCCCCGAGCTTCATGGAATCTAGTAGGTCAGTGGCTTTGTTCTAATGCGTTTGTTAGTGTAAGTGCCCGCTTGCCTCTGTGGTAGGCGAAGGGAACGCCGAGGAAAGGTGTGTAAGGATTTGTCAACGAAGTATGCTCGACTTTTCTTAGCATCATTGGACAAGAGAAGTTGGCGCGGATTCAGCCAGGACTTCATTTGCCGAAGCAGTAGGCAGGGCGATCGACCTCGAGTCCTCACTTGCACTAGGAACACTGCGGTATAGTGACGAAGGGATAGTCAAAGCATTCAATTTGGCTTGGGAACATCTGTTTACACTCCTCCGTCATCTAACCAGTTTAGATCTAGGCTGTAGGTCTTTGTATACTACGGTACTTGTTTAATATTATAATGTAGTGTTCTCTTTTAAGCCAAGTTTAGGAAGGGAAACGTGGCTGGACTGCAGCGCGGGATGCTGCTGCAGAGTACAGGCGGTTACCTCGAGGACAACGGCATATAACGTACTTGCATAACGAGTTGCGCAGCATAACGAGTTGCGCACTTTTCTTGCACCTGCATTGCTTTGTATAAGTCAATTCAACCACAATACCTCTAA